GGCTGCCCACACTATGGAAGTTGATTTTTTCTAGAGGTACTTGGGAAATAAACGTGTAGAGCCCAGCGGACAACTGTTTGAGGCCAGTCACACACGGCTTCTATGAACCGTTTTTTATTGCAGTTTTATCTGTATTGAGATCTTGCCTCCGGCTATGGACCACCGCAAGGTAAGTGGGTCGGAGTCGACCTTTTCCAATTCACTTCCTGATATATATATCCATATAATATGTGTTTTTTTGTTTGACAGTCTGTTCTTGGTGACATGTATCCATATAATGTGTGTTTGTTTGACATGTCTGTTATATTTGCTAGGTATATATGGGTCGATATTCCATTATAATTAGCCAACCATGTTAAGACTGTCTATTGATTTGTTCATTTTGAATATTCGCCCACACACTTGTGTTCTCACACTTGTTCGGACATTCATATATTTTGCTCTCACACTCTTGTGTGACGTTGATTCTCCTGGTGTTTTGGAAAATAGAAGTATCATCGCAAACCTAGTGGTCTTCTGATTTCCGTCTTTCTTGCGTCAGGAATATTAAGTTCTCGACCAGTACATAACACTTCCCCAGAGCAGAAATGCAGCATAGTTAGTTATCTGAGGGGAACAGCTAACTGGCGTTACATTCCTGTTCTACAACAGTACGACAGCCCAAAATCCCCCAGCATATTGTAGACAACTTATTCAATGATGGTTACTGCTTCTAGTCTAATCACTATCCAAACAAATTTTCTGACATGCAGGGACACCGATTTCAGTCAGTGCAGCTCGTTAGGTCATTTGAATATAATTGTCATAGTAAAATTGCAGTCAACGAAAGTTGTAAAGAGTCTTTTCACGAGACCCACATGTTTTATTTTTTGTAGATACCTTTGAAGTCGGTTAGCAAGAAACTGATTTTCATTCAACTTGACCTCAGAAGTGATGATATCATGAGAATGACAAATAAACACCCACTAGATACAAGACATCGAATAAACGCATGGGGAGCATTCAAAATAATTAACATCCAAACTGATGCTTTTCTCTGTTGTCTTAATCTTCCAGTTTTATTTTCAGATCGCAATAAGAACTCACGCAAATATTTAATTGATTAACCAACCTATCGCTGTACACTTCAAGAGGAAAATGAAACGAACATATCTTAGAGTAACTGGGTCTTGTTTCAAATGGAATGACTGCATCATACGATATACTATCGATGAATATTTTACTTGAAGATTCTATACAGGGACAAAAAATGTATTGCAAAAGAAATGACGCCGAGAATTCTGTATTGTGTTTAAAGATAATTTACGCAATAAAGCTGTTATCAGTATTATAATCAGCCAGCAGTAGTGCTTGCTAGCCAGATGAAAGTAATCTAGTACTACTGGTTGGTATGATCCGTTTCAAACTACTCATAACAATTAATAAGTAGTGTGTACCACTATGTATTTATTTATGCATGCTTTCTTTTTTGATAACATATCATGTATTGTAACCTGAATATTTTTAATTTCCAAGGCATCAGTAGTGGAATTTCACTACTAGATATTCTTCTTAGACTGATGTAAATCATTGATAGTCTCAATCTATAAAAAAGGGGTCATGTGTTCCTGTGATAATCATAGTGGGATAAATTTGACTAACGTAGTATCCGAAGTTCTAAGTTCAATAATCATCCGCAGACTAAACTCTGCTCGGAAGAAACAAACTGGTGAGAACTAATCAGGCTTCAGGTCAGGACGGAGGATGTGATAATCACATCTCCACCCTCTGACAGATTCCGGTGTCCAAATTTTTCGACACAAAAGAGGCATTCGTCTCGTACGACCGAGAGGTGCTGTGGCAATTTCTGACCTTGGTGGGAGTCACGAGAAAGTTTATCACACTAATCAAAGTGTTCTACTCAAACTCAAACACCCGAGTAAGAGCTCACAGAGATTTGTCATCTGAAGTGGTGACAACCAGTAGTGTCTGTTAGTGATGTACATTGTCCCCAAATTTAATTGATTTCATCACTGATGCCCATAGCGTCTTAGGGATAGACCGGTTACCCGGGAACAGTGTCGTCGACTTGGAGTATGAGGGTGGAATTATCCTTCTGGGTGGAAATGCTGTTAAAATGCGGAGTCTATTGAACACGTTGGGCAGAAATCTCTGAATAGTTCCAGATACTAGCGGCCCCTATCAAAGGTGCTGCAGGATCGATTTGCACCGATACTTATTGAAAGATAGGAAATCAAGTGACCACTCACTTATCCAGGAGGTTGTATCAGACCTAATAGATTGACTGATTGCTGACGAAATCTCAGCATATAAACAAGAGTGGTGTGGAATTCGCCTACATGCGTCATTTCTGGAGTATATAAAACAAGCAAGTTGATGGTGTCGCAATGGGAAGACCTTAGAGACCACTTTTCACAGATTTCTTTTTGTCACGCCTAGAAACCGGTACCTTGCAGCAAGATATACAAGAAACGGATGTATACTTAAGATATGTTGATGACATTTTGATTGTCTGCGGAAGCAGATCAAAAGCTGAAGACATGTTGATAAAATTCAACTCATGCCATCCAAATCTCAATTTCACAGTAGAACACGAGGAAAGCGATACTATTAAATTCCTAGACGTTTTTCTAGCCAAAATGAATGATGGCACAATCGAAAGATCTTTATTTAGAAAGTCTTCATGGACAGAACAGTACATGCATTTCAAGAGCTTTTTCCCAATCCAGTACAAAAAGAACCTAGTCAGAACACTGTTCAATAGAGCACGAAAAATTTGTTCTGACAGTATTATTGAGCATGAAATAAAATCTCTGAAGGATATTTTATCTAAAAATGGATTTCCTGAGAAGTTCATTAATAAATACTCTAAAGAAACTAGCCCCTGCAAAACAATCCAAACAGTTCCGAAGAAATCTGTCTATATCAGTTTACCGTTTAAAGGAGATGATGTACATGAAGTAGTCAAACGAAGACTCGACAAAGCCATCAAGAGAACTTATTATGCTGCAAAACTTGTTATCCTTAACACCAACAAGCGAGCGCTTCAACAATCTGGGAAAGACCAGTCGTTGCCAATCCTCGACACTCCAAACTGCGTATATCAATTTGAGTGTGTTAGTGGAAGCAAATACCCAGGTCATACAGAAAGGCGATTGTCTACTCATCTCATGATGGAGGATTTGCTAAAATGGTTGAAAACAGCTGAGTGCAAAAATCCTCAATAACAAAACATCTTTTGGACTACGGACATGATATCGACGCCGTCAAGTCATTCACTATTGTTAGCAGACAACGAAACAAGATCCTCGAAATTGTAGAGGCTTGTGCCATTCCAGTTTATAAACCAGGTCTCTGTGTACAAAAGGAGATGGTCGTGACTCTGAATCTACCATGGTAATACGTTTCACTTATTATTACTATTCTATCTATTATTATTATTGATTCATTTAAATCGATGCTCTATCAGTAGGATTATCTTAACTCACTTCAACACTATTATTATTATTACAACTATTACTATTGATATTAGTCTGTTTGCAATTCTCGTTATATTCTCTAATGAATAATTGTTTATCTAAGTGATGTAATTGAAGCGTAATGCATTTTATCTTAATTTTAATCTCTCATACTCCCTCTCCCTTGATCTATTTGAACATGACCTGGAAAACATTCACACCCGTCTTTCTGCATGACTAATTCAATGTAGTTTATTTGCTTATCAGTCTTATATCTCCCAATGTAATTTCAAAAGTATATATATCCAGGTATGTAGAGTATTCAGCAGCTGACAAGTTCTACCGAAATTTGATGAATTCATTAAATCCTGCTTTATTAACATTTATTACTTGTTTTTAATTCGTATCGGGAAATAAATGCTTTCATTTCTGGAGTAGGTAGCAGTTCGCTCTATCCTCTTTTATACCTGTGAGAAATGACCATTGAGACTGAAAGATATTAAAAGTCTGGCTACTTGTCTTTGATCATAAGTGTCTGTGTTCTATCTCCCATGTTCAGCGGTATAAAATAGTGAGCAATATTGACACTAGGCGTAGAATTTTCGGTTAGGAGAGAAAGTTAATTGATGAAGTTATGAAGCTATATCGATTTAGACGGCTAGGACAAGCTTTAGGCATCCCGAGAACCGTTTACATCCACAGCGAACAGTATTAGCCGACATAGAATTATGTTAGAAAGGAGTTACAGGTGGTTAAATCACAAAAACTAGAATCAGTCCATGAAGTCTTTAACAGTTGGTTTGAACAACATAGATAATAAGTGTAGACAGCCTGGTTTAGTTTCCTCAGGTTTCTAAGAACCAACCAATGGCTTGCGGCTATTAGTTAATATGGTTCAAAATTCTCGTTCTCAATGAATGGTACAGACATACGATATATATATATATATCAAACCATTATTGTGGTCACTGGGCGCAGGATGACCAATGCCGTCTCAACTACATGCAGTCGGAACGGAGGAGGATATCAAATCGAGCGAGAAACCGGGGGAAGGCAAGAAACACGTTCATCAAACTGAAGCAACCAATCTGGAAGTCTTCGTCACTCAACCAAAATCAACAACAAAATTCAGTCGGATTTTCAATACAAACGTCAAGTCAGTCAGTTCTTCTATCCGGAACGGATCAGAAACTTGGCGGGCGGGTCACAAAGAATATCTCCAACAGGCTATTGCAGACCTTTATCAACAACTGTCTTCGCTGGCTCTATACTGAAGATCAGATGGCCGGGACGGAAAGAATCACCAACAAGAAACTATGGCCACAAACGAACAAAACAAGAACCAATCGCCAACCAACAAATATGCAGGAGAAAGTGGATTGAGATGGATTGGACACTCGCTCGCTGAGGAGGGAAGCCGCTGGGTGACATCGCGCGCGCGTCAGGCCATTGCTCGAGTGGAACCAGGCCGAAAGGGAAGCAGTGAGTGGTTCGTTGGTGCAAGGGTGGGTGACATGCAAGAGATCGTGTGAAGAGGAGTTGAAAGAGTATGGACTAACATGAATGCAGGTGAAAAGTACAGCAGAAAGAAGACAGAAGTGGCAAGTGGAGACGTGCAGTTGAAACCCTATGTTCCGCTATGAACGCAAGGGAGCAATAATAATAATTTATATATATATAAATTTTTATATGTACAAACCTAGTATAACTATACAAAAATTCATCATAGTAGAAAAATAAACCAAAAAATTGTGCGTGTGTTTTTACATGAAAAAAATCTTCAGTCGTAGAAAAATGGTTGCGGGGTTGGGATGGGGGGAGGAGAAAAGTTAAAAAGTGGGAAAAAGGGACGGAGAGGCAGTTTTTTTAAATTAATTAACTGCATTCGAAGGACAACAGAGGGAATAGGCGGATCCCATTCATAATGAGGAATTGGGAGACTAGAAAAATCGCCCTGAGGAAACCTGATTGATAATGATGATGATTGTCATTGTAAATTTCAGTATTTGAAAAGAAAAAGAAGAATAAGAAGAGAAAATCGCTTCATTACAAAAAAGGATAATAAGGAGTCATTCGGCATGTTATGACATCTAGGGCATATTATTGTTTGTAGTAGCAGTCGTGGCTCCGAGAACAAACGAGGTAGTACCTGATATGGGTATATATTTCTTCCTCCAGTCGCTCTCTCTCCATCCTGAATCAAATTTATTCACAAAATGGATAATGTGCAATCGTATGAAAATTCAACAGGGTATTATTATTAGTAGTAGTACTGCTATTATTATTATTATTATTATTATGAGCAACAACATCTGTATGACTGCTAGATGGTAATATATGATTGATATTTTGACTTTGAAACATGGAATACTGTGGTGGATTATGTACAGTTGGTGTGCTTTGATTTGCAGTTGTTGCTGATGTCACCGCCATTACTGGCTCAATAATGGATGCTGACAGTGTTGATGCTGGTGATGATAAGGATGATGGGAATGTAGCCGTCAGCTCGAAGCTTTTTTCTTGTATAGGCCATATACCATGTTCAACAAGATTGATTAAACGACAACTTGTTGGATCTTCAGCTGCTAACTTAACAAATACTAAATGTTCAAGGCATTTATAGGCAATAGATCGTAACGGTGGTAGTCTTAACAGCAATTTTGTAAATCTTGAAGTATCCTGAGGTTGATTTGTTGTGCAATAGGAATGAAGAGCTGAGTATAACTGTTCTCGGACAGCTTCTACACGATGTCGGGATGATAAAACATTAGCATCTAAAAGACAAGAATAACAGAAAAGTTTAACAACGTAGATAAATTACACGCATACAATGCAGGATCTCATACACTTGTGAACGAGTTTCATCACTACTTATTATTTACAGGGTCTCATCAGGAGCTGAAATCGGTTACAGAACCACTGGAAAACTTGCAGGGAGGACTCGAAAGCTGTTTCGTCCTAGTTCACGACTCCTCATCAGTACTCACTTACCACCAGGGTTTGAAACCAGGACCTGGTTACAAGGAGAGCCCGTAGACTACCAAGTCACTGGGACCCGATCCAATGGCCAGTCCATGAATCTCAACTTCTATCAATTCACAATATGGCGCAACCATTAGCCAATGTCATCGGCGAGTATTTGTCCTCACACCCAACCTGTTGTATCCCACTGGTCACGACTTCCTACTAGAACCCAGGTAACTACCTACCTGAATAAGACCATTCACTAATGAGCATCTCATTGATATCCAAGTATTGGGGCTTGTAGGGAATGGATTGATTGGTTACAGGATTTATCATAAGGTGACATTTATTGATTAAAGACAAACTTATCAAACAGATGGGCCGAAGGCAATGTGTACTATGCAAAAAACAATGCAACATAACATATTGGGAAGAAACAGAATAATTGAAAGGAACAGGGGGATGAGAATACGTATATTCTCCATGGATTACAATTCTCGGTCATGTCTGCTAATATCTCAAGTCAATGCTTCAAATAACCAGCTGGAAACCCCCTTCCAGGGAGTTGTCGCGCAACAACACATGATAACCTACTGATACAACTATTCTTTGACTGGACACTAGTAACTAGTGTGACGTGTCTAGTCTTTTCTTTGGTGCAGACTAAATTCTATCAGTCAGGTTTACAATGTGGCCACCATTCTAAGTGGCTCGCCATCACGGTGCACATTGATTTGATGATACTAGATAGTGGGAGGCCATCGGCAAGAATCATTAGACCTAGGTTTCGTGCTAGTTGGCACTCATCAGCAAGGCGTATATGCAACCTTGAAGAAACTCTGGTAACGTCTCTGACTGCAGCACTGGGTGACGCCGGTTCGAATCTCAGAAGGGACATCAGCTCCTTCAAGGTGTCAGATACGCCTTGCTGATGAGTGCCAACTAGCACGAAACCTAGGTCCAAGGCTTCCTGCCGAATGCCTCCAACTATTCTTTATCCCATGGTTGTGGGGTGACCATCAGCTCGTCCACAAACTTGGAAAAAGGAAGCTTTATTTGTCTTGCATTTAAGAGAGAAATAATATCTCATAGAACCGCGGAGGGAATAACGAAGTTACTTTGAAACTAAAATTTTATCACTATATGAAAAACTATACATACTTAACAAACGAATCAAACTTTGAGAATTTCCATACTGCTAGAATACCTTCACCTGCTGCATCGATACATTTACAAGCATTTGAGGAAGTACATTCAAAACATGATAAAAGTGCTTCTATGTGGTTTTCAGAGCATATTCCACGAAAGGGGGGCTGAAATTCCGAAAGTGGAATATGGAAGATGCTTTGTAGATATATACAGGATGTCTTGTTCAAGAGGATTTGACCGTCAAGAGTATGCTTTGCCGAAACAATTCAAATAAAATGTTTCGAAACTGAATTTATGAGAAGAAAGTGATTAGTCTCAAGCTTTTCTGACAAGTTAAGTTTTGATTTGATTAAATAATCTAATATTTTACACCGGCTTACTGATTTCAGTGTACAGACTTCACACCTTTTTCTCTCACCCCCCCCCCAATATGGTTTAAATTAGTACCAGCACACACACACACACCCATATCCTGAACCTAATACTTAGTCATGTATGTAAGTTGCCAATGATTCGAGGTAGAAATTTTAAAGCTCACCCACTCTCGATACTCTGAATAGCATACTTTCTTCTAGGCGAGGATGCTGACAAAATGCAGTCTTCTAAACGCCTTGAGCTGCAATCTAAAAATGTTTGGGATGCGATTCTCTCCAGCCAAATGCAATATGATGTTACAGGACTGGACTACACCGACTCCTAGATTAGAAATAGGAAGTGAAGTGGTAGAGCACGTTGACCGCCTCACTTACTTGGGAAGTACCATCAGCCCCAACGGGTTGATCTCTGACGAAATCTCAGCACGGATACAGAAGGCTTGTTTCACATATGTCAGTTTACGCCGTCTCTAGCGTAGATGTGATATCCGACTGGCTATCGACCAAAGGGCGGGTGTACTGCTCATCAGTCCGCTCCATCCTCCTTTATGGCTGTGAGCGAGGCCTGGCCATTGAGAGTGGAAGACATGAAGAGATTAGCTGTCTTTGATCATAGGTGCCTGCATTCTATCTTCCGTGTGAAGTGGTATAATAAGGTGAGCAATATTGAGGTTAGGCGTCGAGTACTAGGTAAGGAGTGAGGGGAAATCAATTGATGAGGCTGTGAAATTACATCGACTGAGATGGCTAGGACATCTGTTAGGCATGCCTAGTCATCGCCTTCCTCGACGGGAAATGTTAGCTGATATAGGGTCAGGCTGGAAAAGAGCTAGGGGCGGTCAAACCAAAACATGGCACGAGTCAATGAAATCCACAACAATTAGTCTAAGCCACGTAGGAAGGTGTACACTTCCTGACTGGTTGGGGTCCTCGGGACGATAAACACGAATAGCTGGAGACATTTGGCGATATGGCTCAAAATCGTTCTCAATGGCTGGCGCAGACGCATCCACTCCTTGTGACCTATGATTTCCAATGAAACTATATTGTTCTTCGTTATTCTGTCTGTCTGTCTATCTGTCTGGATTCAACATAGAACTTGGCACCGAAGTGCAGCAGTTCGAGTTGCCACGTTCCAAATAGCACACAGAGGTAGACAAGAAGATGAGTGAAGAGAATCAATAGAGTTTGACAAGTATAAGAGTGAAACAGAATGGGTAATGGTAGAAAGGAATATGAAAGATTACAGAGACTGAATACATCTGCGCCATTGACAACGATTTTGAGCCATGTCACCTATTGTCTCCAGCCATTGATTCCTAGAGTCCCGAGGGCCCCAACCCGGAAGTCTGCATCTCCCTACCTGACTCAGTTTAACTGTCAAGGATTTCATGGATTGATGCCATGTTTTTGTTTGGCCACCACTGGCTCTTTTCCAACCTGCACCTATATCAGCTAGCAATGCCCGTCGGGGGAGGCGGTGGTTAGGCATGCGCAGCACGTGACCTAGCCATCTTAGTCTATGTAACTTTATAGCCTCGTCGATTGATTTTCCCTCTTTGCCCAACACTCTACGCCTAACGTCAACATTACTTATCTTGTGAAACCACCTAACGTGAGACAGAGATCGCAGACATCTATGATCGAAAGCAGTCAACCTTTTCATGTCTTCAACGCGTATTGGCCATGTTTCAGAGCCATAGAGAAGGACGGAGCGAACTGATGAGCAGTACACACGTCCCTTGGTTGATAACCGGATGTCACGCCTACGCCAGAGATGGTGTAAGTCAGCGAAAGCAGCTCGAGCTTTTCGGATCCGTGCTGAGATTTCATCGCCAATCAGTCCGTTGGTGCTAATACAACTTCCCAAATAGGTGAAGTGGTCAACATGTTCTATCACTTCACTCCCTATCACTAAGTTAGGAGTTGACGTGGTCCAGTCCTGTAGCAGCATCTTACATTTTGTAGGGGCGAATCGCATGCCAAACATACGAAGATTGCTGCTCAAGGTGTTCAGAAGACTCTGCATTTTGTCAGCATCCTCCCCTAACAGGACTATGTCATCTGCATATTCTAAGTCCATAAGATTATTCCCTGGTAACAAGTCGATTCCTAAGTCATTACGTTCAGTTAAGGATACTTCCATCAGCATATCTATGATGAAGTTAAACAGAAATGGGGAAAGTGGACATCCCTGTCGGACACCACTGGTTGTTACCAATTCAGATGACAATTCCCCATAAGCCCTTACACGACTACGTGAGTTTGAATAGAGTGCCTTGATTAGTGCAATGTACTTTCTTGGCACTCCCTTCACAGTCAGACATTGCCATAGTACCTTTCGATCCACGGAGTCGAAGGCCGCCTTCAAGTCAAGAAATATGACAATTGTTGGACGCCGAAAAGTGTGTCTATGTTCTAGAATCTGTCGAAGAGTGAAGATATGATCTATGCACCCTCTACCTGGTCTAAAGCCTGCTTGATTTTCCCTTGTCTGTTCCTCCCGAGTTCTGCTTAGTCTATGCATGATTACTGAGCCTAGGATTTTAGAGACTATGTTCGTTAGGCTGATCCCCCTATGATTATCACACGAGGACTTGTTTCCCTTCTTGAATATCGGTATAATAAGTGACTTACCCCAGTCTGATGGCACTGTCTCTGATTCCCAGACTTTGCCTAGTACCTCAGTTAATCTACAAACTAGTATGTCACCCCCATATTTAAACACCTCCGGAATAATTCCGTCGGGTCCTGCCGCTTTGCCTCGTTTCAAATTACTGATAGCTTTTGTAACCTCACCTACAGACGGCGGACCAGTGTCTATATCCCATTCGGGTGTGTGCTGGATGTCGGGGAGGTTCAGTGTGGCTGTAGGCAAGTTAAATTGTCCCTCAAAGTGTTCTTTCCAGCGTTCAAGGCGTCTATCCTGAGACTTTTGGTAGAACTCATCCTTCGTTTCATCTGAACTGCAGTCAGTGGGGGCGTAGGCGGAGATTACGAAAAGGCATCGGCGAGTAGTGCAGTCCTTTCTCCTTCTTACTGACCCGTTCAGACGGACAGCACACATTTGGCTATCTACTGGGATCCAGTCAAGCAATGTCTTTTCTGCCCTAGTACTCAAAGCTATCCCTACACCAGCTAATCCTCGTGAACTAGCTGTGGCATCTCCTGACACCCTCAAGGTGAATTTTGCAGATTCAACCTGTTGGCCAGGTGGGGTTAGGTGAATAACCACACTTGGGTCTTGTATGCGTGTTTCTGAAACACAGCATACATCAATGGCTCGTGATGTCAGGGTCTTGGCTAGTGATGCTTGTTGTCCTGTTCGGCAAAGTGTCCTAACATTAAATGCTCCGATATGAAATTGGTGGCGTGGCTTTAGGAGGCTGTCGGTGGTGGTTTTTTGGCTTCCATCGTTTTTAGTGGACACAGAGTGAAGAGGGAGTGAGGAGCCATCAAGTAGAGGAGTTGCATCAGTGGGAGGAAGGCAAGCTAATAGAGATGAAGATGAAGACAAAGATAAGTGAGGATTAGAGAGGTTTTGTGTACATTTCGGATTGTGAGGGCGTTTGTTACTTCCCGGCTGCCCACACCGTGGAAGTTGGTTGCGTGACCGCAGAGCCCAGGGGACAACTGCTTGAGGCCGGTCACACGCGGCCTGTTTTTGTTTGTTCTCTTTTGTTTGGTGTGCCTCAGTAGCATACTTATCACTCCTGCCCTGTGACACGGCAGCAGGAAGCGCGGTCGTTGTTAATCCGGGCCACGGCCGATCCGGCATGCAATTTTGTGAATTTGTTTGAATCATGGTATTGGATGGGGTAGCTGCTTTTTGTTTAACCGCTATCCAAACAACCTTTCTGGCATGGTAGAACCTCAAGAGATATAAGTCTCAGCCAGTATAGCTTGATTAGGTCATTGCGGTGTTCAAGCCCGACCACCACGTCAAGGTAGCAGCTTTCGGTATTCTATTCCTTTGTCTCACACCTCTGTTTGCTGTCTCTACTATGCATTTCTTCTACTTTCTCCTTTTGCTTTGTGTGCTACAAGAAGGGAGTGTGGCGACTTGAACTTCCGCACATCGGTGCAAAGTTCTATGTTGAAAACAGACAGACAGAATAGCATACTTTAAATATACTGTGCTATTGTTTCAATATTTGAAGCATGCGACATTATGGCAACTTTTTGACAGTCTGTAGGTGGCTAGAAATTTGTGTGAAATTGTAAATGTCATATAGTTATACAGTACGAATTTGATGCGCCTTTGCTATTACGAAATTAAGTTTAACGTTAAATTCATATCTGAAACTGTATAGGAAGCAATGTCGTCTATGCAGTGGATAGTTCACTGAAGGGTTCATCAGTATGCACCCGCCGGGATTTGAACCCAGGTCGCTGTATGTCGTGAATTGACAGAAGTTAGAATTCATAGGCCATTAGATCGGGTCCCAGTGGCTTAATAGTGTACGAGCTCGCTTTGTAAGCAGAAGGTCCTGGGTTCGAATCCCGGTGGGTGCGTACTGATAAAGAGTCCCAAACTAGGACAAAACAGCTGTCCAGTACTTCCAGGTTTTCCAATGGTTCTCTAACTAATGTCAGCTCATGATGAAATCACAATATAATACCTGTAAACAAACATACTTCACAGCTCCCAACCACGCAAAGTGTAAAATGATATTTCGAATTCACACGCACACACACACGCATAAACACACTTAGTGATCAAAACATAAGCCATGACAAATGGTGACTTACCAGGATTGAAAAGAATAATTGCTCGTAATAAAGCTAATTCTGTTCTTTGTAGTGATAAATCACGAAAACGTGCAACAAGTTCATGAAGAATTCTATCAACAAGTGGTCCTAAACCATAAGCTTTTGCTACTTCTCTACCAAGATGACGTCCATTCGATAAGAGTAAACCATCTCTGATAACAGTTGAATGATACGCTGAACTGATTAGAACTAATTCAGGCCAAGCTAAAAAAAAAATATTAAGAAATAAATTTTCTTTTTGTGATAGCATTATAGACTGTGCAATATGAAACAGCATTATAGGATTAGGTTCACTTCCAGTTGGGAAGTAAGTGCTCAAAGGATGACTACTACTGAAACGTGAAGGGAGACTAGTTTTACTTTTCAAATGCTTATGAAATATATGTGAAAGAGAAGCTCCGCTTGATGTCATACACTTGGTTCCCTTTGATAAATTTTGAAACACAAAGAAAGACTAAAACTTGCAGGATGAAATGTGATATCATTTTATTCCACAGGTTATCAACATCAACTCCAAACTACCAGAATTTACAATGCTAATAAAAAAATTAGAATAAAATACTTCAATGTTTGAATGTTAGCAGAGAAAATATGTAAGTATTAAAATTCTTAGTTCAAGTTACCATCTATTTGTATACCTTTAGAAGAAGAATACGAGGAATGGGGGAAGGAGAAGACAGAAAACAGACAAGCCGAATAAACAGTGTTAGTTTATAAGTTCACATAACGATTGTAAGACATGGTCATGAGAAAGGAGGATATGGAAAGCCTGGCTAGCTGTCCTGGATCATAGGAGCCTGTGTTCTATTTCCTCCCTTAGATAGTATAAGAGGGTGATTAATATTGAGTTGGCTAGGCGTCGAGCACTAGGTAAGGAGAGGAAATCGACTGACGAGGTTATAAAGTTACACCAATTGAGATTGTCAGGAAATGTCTCACACATGCATGCCAAGTTATCGCCTTCCTTGACGGTCAGTGTTAGCTGACATAGGACCACTCAGGTTGGAAAAGGGAGACAGTGGTGATCGAACCAAAAAAAAAACATGGCTTCACCAGTCAATGAAATCCATAACAGTTAGTTTAAGCTAACCACTACTTAAGGAGGTGTAAACTTCTTGGCTGTTTGGAATTCTCAGAATGCTAAGAACCAATGAAGGCTGGAGACAAATTGGTGATATGGCTCGAAATCGTTCTTAGTTGAGCAGATAGATTCACTCTTTGTGATTTTTCATATCCAACAGAACTCTATTGTTCTTCCACATTACTATTCTTTTTCCGGTGTAAGAACAGTAGACAAGGGCCAGGCAACAGGTCGTTTTATTACGGAAATCAACACGTATTTATATATATTTCCTGTACATTATTATAGCTTATTCAGGTAGACAAACGCAGTCTTCTGATTGGTTGTTTCTCAGAAGTTAAGCAGACAAACGCAGTCTTCTGATTGATTGTTTCGGGTAACCATCGAAAAGTAGAGCCATCTATCTGCGAATCATAATTGCCCACGTTAGTTTGCTGTGATTGGTTGTTGAATCAGCCTTGCTCATATTTTCTCACGGTCCATATTAGTGACCTAGACATTGGCGTAGATTAATGTCTACCAATTGGCTATCAGCCTGCTTTCACCACACCGGAATATACACATTGGGCCATAGGAGTTATAAGGAGACAATTGCAGCGAAGAAAATTTTATTTCGACGAAGTCATCATCTGGGCTGTACATTCGTGTATTTATATCAAATGGATGGGAAAGTTTCAGAATAATATCCGGTCAAGGGCAAATTAATAAAAATTACAGTTAGGAATTAGAATGCCATAATAAACAGGGGATGGATAAAACAAACAAAATAGCTTCATAATAACTAAGAAGATTGACGTTGTGCAATTAGGGGTTAGAAATGTAGAAATAACAAAATAGAATGTTTGGATAAAAAACCTAATATGATGAATAATTGCTTATGCAATCAGAGATTATATATGTAGAAATAGTAAAATGACAAAATAAACACGAAGTTCGGGTATGAAAACATGGTAGTGTAAATAGGGATTAAGAAAAACTTAAAATAACATGAATAAACAGGAAGTTTGGATAAGAAAGGCGATGGGATGGTCATTACTAAAAAATTACCTGTTTATGATGGTCATGGTAGGGACAGGGGTTGGACGTATTTCTTTTGGATACATAGAGTGGATTTCAGCTTTTGGATAGCTAGCGCCTCGGCTATGCCCAGATGCCTTGATTTCACTCCTTTTGATAGGTTTGATTGAATCTTGTATATTACTTTGAAGGATTTTTCGAAAGGCGCTGAATGTCCTGAATTGACTAGATGTTCTGTCACTGAACTGTATACACGCTTTTGGTCTCCTTTTACTAACCAGGCTAGGTAGTGTTCACGAGCGCGTTTTCCCCTTTTTTTCTTTTTCCTTTACTCAGACTTGTGTTTATCATTTCTCCTTCTTGGATCTCTTTTTATTCGCTTCTATTTCTGTGTGTTACATCGAGGGAGAGTGGCAGTTTAATTTGCCCACAGCCACGCTCAACCTTCTGAGCATCCAACACCTCCCTGAATGGGATATAGACACAGGTCCTCCGTCACTAACTGAGGTTACTAAAGCTGTCACCAATCTGAAACTAGGCAAAGCAGCGGGACCTGATGGAATGACGCCAGAGGTATTTAAGTACGGTGGAGACAGTTTACTGTCTGCATTAACTGAGGTACTAGGCAGCGTCTGGGAATCAGAAGAAGTCCCATCGGGTTGGTGTAAGTCACTGATTATCCCCATATACAAGAAGGGAGACAAGTCTTCCTGTGATAATCACAGAGGAATTAGCTTGACTAATATAGTATCTAAAGTCTTAGGCTCAATAATCATGCGTAGACTGAGTGATGCTCGGGAAGCACAAACACGAGAGAGCCAGGCAGGCTTTAGACCAGGAAGAGGGTGTATTGATCATATCTTCACCCTCCGACAGATTCTAGAACATAGGGATTCCTACCGGCGTCCAACAGTCATTATATTTCTTGACCTAAAGGCAGCATTCGACTCTGTCGATCGGGAAGTTCTCTGGAGATGCTTGGCTGTAAAGGGAATTCCAAGAAAATATATTGCACTGATTAAAGCACTCTATTCGTACTCATACAGCCAGGTGAGGGCTTACGGCGAGCTGTCATCTGAACTGATGACGACCAGTGGTGTCCGTCAAGGATGCCCATTATCTCCTTTTCTATTCAACTTCATCATAGATGTGTTAATGGACTTAACTCTAGGTGACTTCAGCGACTCAGGAATTGACTTGCTACCGGGGAATAATCTCGTTGACTTGGAATATGCAGACGATATAGTCCTTCTAGGCGAAGACGCTGACGAAATTCAGAGTCTTCTAAACACCTTGAGCCGCAATCTACGAATGTTTGGCATGCGATTCGCTCCCGCCAAATGCAAGATGATGTTACAGGACTGGACTACATCGACGCCTAGTTTAAAAATAGGAAGTGAAGTGGTAGAGCACGTTGACCGCTTCACTTATTTGGGAAGTACCATCAGCCAGTACCAACGGGCTGATCTCTGACGAAATCTCAGCACGAATACAAGGGGCTCGTTTCGCATTTGTTAGTTTACGCCGACTCTGGCGTAGACGAGATGTTCGACTATCGACCAAAGGGCGGGTGTACTGCTCATCAGTCCGCTCCGTCCTCCTTTATGGTTGTGAGACCTGGCCACTGAGAGTGGAAGACATGAAAAGCCTAGCTGTGTTTGATCATAGGTGCCTGCGTTCTATTTCCCGTGTAAAGTGGCATAATAAGGTGAGCAACATGGAGGTTAGGCGTCGAGTTCTAGGTAAACAGGGGAAATCAATCGACGAAGTCGTGAAGCTACAAAGACTGAGATGGTTAGGACATGTGTTACGTATGCCAAGCCATCGCCTCCCTCGACGAGCAATGTTAGCGGATATAGGGTCAGGCTGGAAAAAAGCTAGCGGCGGTCAAACAAAAACTTGGCATCAGTCAATGAAATCCACAACAGTTGGTCTAAGCCACGTAGGAAGGTGTAGACTTCCAGGCTGGGGTCCTCGGGACGGTAAAAATCTATGGTTGGAAACAATTGGTGACATGGCTCAAAATCGTTCTCAGTGGCGCAGATGCATCCACTCCCTGTGACTTATGATCTCCAATGAAACTGTTTTGTATTTCTTTATTACTCCTTTGTCTCACACCTCTGCTCACTGTTTCTATTATGCTTTTCTTGTACTTTCTTCTCTTGCTTCGCGTGCTACACGGAATGTGGCGACTTGAACTTCCGCACATTTGTGCAAAGTTCTATGTCGAAAACAGACAGACAGACAGGCAACTCGAACTGATACACATCTGTGCGAAGTTCTATGTTGACATCACCAATCAGTCAGTCATTCATCAAAAACTCAAGAAGGTTATAGTTCATAAGATTGAAATTTGCTTGATATTTTTCTCCGTTTTCATAAGCATATGCTGAATTCCTTAGAATAAGGTTGTGTGTCGATATTGAGTAAAGAAAATTTTAAGGGTCTCCCTTGCAGTGTTGTGCACCCATGACCAGATTATAGATAGAACCCGGTAATTTTCGACTACTTACTAGGTCACCTTGGACTAGATTTCTGGTATGATGCGTACTATGATCTTAAGTGATTTTCTAATCCGTGTGCATTCGTAGTGGTATCTACCTTGAAATCAATCACTCAGCACTTGATAATTTTATGTCAACAGTAACAGTAAACTGTCTTAAAAGAACATTTCAGTACTACGGTGACATATTAAGAACGATGGATTTACTCCATAAGGTTTATCACAATCATTTATTTTAAGTTTGATCACTGATTGATATCAGTTAGAGTACTGGATAGATATTTCGTCCCAGTTTGGGACTTTTTAGTAGTATGGACCCACGGGTTTTCAAAGGATTCAGCAGATACTGGGACCTGTATCAATGTACCTGTGGCTGAATGGTCGTCTATGAGCTTCTCTTTGAACCCAGGACCGTCCAGTCGAAAATCAAATACGTAAGTCAATAAGCGACGTCTCGAATTCAGGATAATATAGAGATCAGTACTTGGGGAGTGTTAGTAGTTACTAAACCCACGCCCAACGTGCCCTCTTTACTGAGCTTACTACTGCTGGTTAGGTTTGATACAGGAGTGCATTCTCTGGGAGTCGAGTCCGCACAGTGTGTATCACATCAGCGAGCACTCTACCTTGAACCATAGATGCATGCACACAAAAGTTTTATCCAATGGGCAAATGAGCCACAGAGTTCTACATTGATAGTTCAGATTAGTTCAGCTGGGGAAAACAATTTTTCATTGTTTAATAACGATATGATTATTTCCATGATAAAATAAATGGTTATACAGATTGATGTTGATTCTATTTCTGACATTTAATTACCTCTAATAATATCTTATCATAAAATTTTACTTATGTTATCAAATAAAATACTGTAGTCAAACATAAAAAATCTGATTGACCCGATCATGAAATACTAACCAAGCGATTCACATAATATACAGTAGAGCAATCAAAGTGTTCTCAAGTAAAATCGAATGGGGAAAGTTAAACTTTCGACACCACTAACAACCAATCAACAAACGACCCTGAACGGACCAATCACATTAAATGGGCATTTATAAATGGAAACGTATATTTATAGAAAAAATGCATAAAAAAGAGGATAAGACGGTTACAAGGGGTATCTTTTTCGAACATGTGAGAGAAACATCTCCTAGTTTAGCATGGGACTGTCAATGGAGAAGTTACACCACATCCTGTACATATAAATGACTATATAAATGAGATCCTTTTGAGATCCATTTATAGCCCTTATCCTGTTTTTCAAGCGGCCCCAAAACCCTTCAATGGAATTCGTATGAGTCCTCGTAACGGGATCCACGAAATCACTTGAATGGTTCACTCTGTGATGAATATACCCAAGAGATGACAGCGAATTATAACCTTTCTACTCGTCCGTGTGTCTAATTGATCCCCGTTTAACAAGTCTCGTTAAAATAGATATTAAAGTGGTTGCTTTTCTGTTAGCTATCAGTTCGACGAATCCCTTTCGGAGGGATGTGTCGTATAAAGCTAATACCCAAATGTTGCTTGCTCGCTGGCGACCACGGTTGTATTTTTTTTTCACCAGCACAGTTTCATCGACATGCACGATAACGTCTTCTCCACCCAGCAAAGAAGTGATTTACTCTGTTTTCCACGAAGCAATGTCTCTGCAATGCTGGTACCACTGAACTGTTGAGACGAGGCTATTCTCCGTATCGGCGGCCGCTGCTCTCACCGGCTGTTTCAACACCCGCTAGTTGCAGATATACAAAATCTGGGGTTAGGGAGAGATACGACCTAGCGAAAAAAGTTCCTATGAAATATTAAAATTATCAGCTTACCCTCCCTAATGCTAGCACGCTTCAAACATATACCACAACGATGAAAAAATCCATCAGTTGATCAGCTATAGCTTTTTAAAGTCATGATACCATCACACGAACGTTCGCTTCTTCCGGAACAACCCTAAATCCAGGCAATACTGGAAAACACTGTCTTCCTCGAATTGCAACCGTGACCTTGTAACGGCACCCATTTGAAATGAATCAAGCGCTATACAACATCGAACTACGTTCGTGAACCTCATTGGATAATTCGAAGTCGTTCGTGAATCTCATTGGATAGTTCGCTGATAGGTAGTTAGTGGTGTCGAAAGTTTAACTTCGCCATTGAATGATATGGGAAGTAAGAAGCTATGAGATATGGGAATACACAAACACACACACACACACACTTGTCCATTTCAGATATAACCCACCCACCCCCACCAAAAAAAGGTTGGGGGCAAATGAAGTAGTTGTGAAAATATAAACAAAAACTTACCAGCTTTTATTAAACAAAATTGATCATCTAAAGTGAGGTAGGCAGAAGAAAACACTGGTAATTGACGTGCCCAATTCACTAATCGGGGTAGCTGTTGTTCAATAGACTGACAGATTATAGTCAATGGATGTAGGCCTGCTTCATCATCACCAGATATATCTTCATAGATTGCCTCACCTCTCTCAGACATAGCTAATTTAGGATCCATGCTTAGTTCAGCTGATAGGAGACAGCGTAGTGTTAACGTGGGCATGCTTGTTTGTTCATATACCAAATTGTTATTATTACTATTGTTATTACTGTTATTTGAGTCATTAGGAAGAGGGGAACTATTGTCTCCAATATGATCAGATTGTAACGAAGGATCACCACCGATAGAAATTGTCGGCAGTGTTATTGTTGTTACTGGTGCTGTCTCAGTGATAGTACGGTTGGTAGTGATAATATCAGTAGCTATCGTAGGCGTAATATTTATTGTAGGGTTTTGGTTGTCAACTGTAATATTATGATTATTAAGAGTCAACTCAATAAACTTGCTGCTATTTGAAGGACGTCCAGGTCCCTTCTTTCCCACCTTGGAAATTTTGGGCGATGAAAGAACAAGATTGGGTGGTGGTGGTGGTGTTGGTGGTGCTGAAGGTGGTGGTTTACGATGACGTTCTTCTTGAACAGCTGAGAGAAAAACACAGTGATATATTAAAAGTAAATATGCAATAAAACAAGCAACAAAAGTTAATAGAGCAGGATTTAATGAATTCAAATCACCAAAAACACCCATTGAGTCATGAAGAAAATAAAAGACAGATTCAGCGAAGGAAATTTTCTTTATCGACGAAATCATCTTCACAGGCTGTACAGTCGTATTTATATATACCAAAAATGTATAGTAATAGTAACATAATTGATATTAAGTAACATAATAACATAATTGATATAATTACTCAAAAGTGGCTTTAGAAGTGAAAATTAAAAGTTGTAAATTACGTGGTACTCAACGGAACAAAGAGAGAATAGAAATTCTATAAGGTTAAAATTTCTCTTAAGTGAGAGTAAAGCTGGTAGTTGAGTGTGAGTGTGAAGAGGGTGTGAAAATATACAAAAGGAACATATGAAACTGATAATAGTGAATTAATTATTAGAGCAAAAGCAAACTAAAAGTAAAATTGAAAATTAAAAACAAAAGAAAAAATCAAAATTGTTTTACATGGAACGACTAGTGAAGAGGTTAAGACCAAGGTAGAATAAGAGACTGGACAAACTTTTTCTGTATACAGAGTTCAGGGTTGTATTGATGAATTGCCAGCGCTTCCGCCATACACAAAAGCCGAAACCTGATGCCCTTTGTACTGTTTGGCTTCACTTTGTAGATGATGTTGAAAGACGACTCTGGTGGAGCTACATGGCCTGAGTTCACCAAATGCTCGAGAATTGAGCTAGTAATTGTCTTGCATTATCCCTTTGCTAACCATGCCGGATAATGTTCAGAGATGCGTTTGGAAAGAGTGCGCTTTGTTCGGGCTGCCAATATAACTAGCTCCATACGAGCAGGTGAATTTATAAACACACATCGAGGTGGCCCAAAGCGACAGTTTATCCCTCACACATCCATTGATCATTTGTCGGTTGTAGAAACTGATACATACCTCAGCCATAAAGAAGGCTTTCCTCAGTGATCTGCATAAGCGATTGTTCAGGATCTCAGCTGCAGTATCACCTTTAAATTTAACACTCATAAATAGCAGTTCTTCTTCGGCACCGTCTGGATTCTTTCAGGATTTTCCCTTAACTTCATGTTTTTCTCGACAAATCTTGGAGGATATGCATTCTCTATGAGGACTTGTATGAGTTTCCCCAGTTAATGATGAATTGATTAATGAATTCATCGAATTTCGGTAGAACTCTTCAACTGAATTACTCTGTGTGAAAGCAGATCAAACAGCTGACGACCTGTTGACAAAATTCAACTCATACAATCCGAATCGTAACTTCCCAACAAAACACGAGGGAAGTGGTAATATTAAATTCCTACACGTTTCTCTAGTGAGAAGGAATAATAACACACTGGAAAGATCGATAATTGGAAAGTCTACATGGACAGGATAGAATATACATTTTGAAAGTTTTGTTCCAATCCAGCATAAAAACAATTCAGTCAGAACACTATCCAATAGCGCAGGAAAAATTTGCTCTGACAGTACAGCTGAACATGATATAAAGGCTTTGAAGGATATTTTATCTACGAATGGATATCCTGAGTTCAATAATAAATACTCAACGGAAATGAGCCCCAACAAAACTATCCAAACAGTTCGAAAGAAATCTGAATACATCAATTTACCATTCAAAGTAGATGTACAAAGAAATAGTCAAACGAAGACTAGATAAAGGTATCACGAGAACTTATCATGCTGCGAAACTCGTCTTCCTTAACTCCACCAACTGAGTGCTACAAAAATCTGTGAAAGACCAGTAGCCAATTTTCGACACTTGGAACTGCGTATGTGAAATTCTGTGTTTAGGGAAGTAAATATATAAATGGTAGAGAAATGCGATTGCCAACTCGCATGATGGAGCACCTTCCAAAGTGGTTGAAGCCAGTAGTAGTGGCTTTACTTTAACGGGGTGGAGTTGCTAACCTCACGCCCAACCTCCCTTCCTCTCTGTATCGGGCTTAATATCAGTAAATTGAGGTTTAGGAGTGCGTAGGCTGGGGATCGAACACCGAACCCCATGCTTGGCTGGCAAGCCATATTCCTATTAGGCTCATAAAATATGGTATACACTTATGAGTTTCATATTTACCTTATCAGTGTTACTGACCTCGGTTATTCTATTGGACATAAAATGCGGGTATTGTGACATCACATAAAGTGTGAGCAAAAAACACAGAATTAAGAGCATATCCAGATGAAGTTAGTAAACATTCATAACCGAACAGTTTCAACTAGTGAAAAGTATTTTGTAACGCTTAATGCCATCAGAATCAGTGAACTTAGAACGAAAGTGTCTAAATGAAACTAGCACTTACAACATCAAATGGTCTCTTCAAAAAAACTATGAAGACCCTATGTGTTTAAGGGTGAACTTGGGGGCCTGGTGATACTAGCTGGCTATCCGAAACCATAAACGTGGAGGGGGGGGCGATTCGAAGTCGTGACAAGATGTAGTTTACAACTTTAGAAAGCCCATTGAAAATTGATTCCTTCTTCACTGACTCACTTACCTTCTTTCCGCATACCCTTGGCTAAACATTGTTCAAAACGGCAATACTGGCAACGTGTACGTTTCCGTTTATCCACAGGGCATTGTCCAGCCACACGACAAACATACTCTAAATGTTTTCTTACAGTTCGTTTGAAAAATCCTTTACATCCTTCACATGAAATTGCACCATAATGTTTACCAGTCGCTTTGTCACCACAAATCATACACAGCTGAGACTTAAATTCTCTGGATTTAACGAAGTAGTTAACGAAGACTGATTGATAATTCAACAGGCATTGAAATAGACAAGCATTCTTTATTCTGAACTGTCGTTTTGTTTGGTTCAATAGGTAAAAGAATGGATCTAGAATGAATTTTAATAGATGGTTATTAGAATTAATTAAAGCATTATTATGCATGAAATTGAACTGAACACAAATAGGCAACCAGATGGGGTAACCTATGCAGTTTATTCTTAAATGTTGATTTCGCCACGAATCAACATTAATTGCTAGAGATCATCGAAAGCAAGGGAGTATTGAACTGTCTGTTTCGTCCTAATTTGGAACTTTGCAATATTGGTACATCCATGACCCTGTAACCGTAAAGATGAGAGACTTTGGAAAGAAATGTCTGTTTGGAATTTGGTGGCCAAATTATGTAAACCTTATCTCCAAATCACCATTTGCACAGATCCTCTCCGTTGTGCTCCTTCTGGACTTCAATATTGGGCTTCTTTGAGTTCCCTTCACATCTCCCATGTTTTTTTCGGAATGCCGTATCATTTCCTTTCTATGACATCAAATCTATCTCCCTGCTAGTTGATGTTCCCATGCTGATGAACGTCTCTTTATACACTACTGACAAACCTTATCAGTAGCACACGCCACAAAACAGAATAACACTAGAAAAGTATTGAAATATAATAACTATGCTGGTTAAAATAACATTACTGTCTTAAGTGATGTGTTATGAATCTCACTATGACTCGTCAGCATGGACAACTGATTACACAGGTAGGAAAAACACCCTCATACGTCTCACATCACATTGTCATAAGTAACAATACATAAGATTGCATAGGTTAGACTAAGAGACCGGCAGAACCGACGAGTTTTGAACCTGAAGGGTGTGCGTGGAGGTGCTTGTGTAAGTCTGCTTCCTGGAGAAGAATTTTCGATCTCAGGTATGCAGACCATATGCTCCTACTGTGCAATAACACAGAGGCTGTTGGAATCGCACTTATTTAGCTGGTGATCATGCCTGTAAGTATAGTATTTGCTGTGAGCCGTCTAAGTGCAAAGTACTGTTGTAAGATTGGTGGGAGCCTGTAACTGCACTCATCCAACGGGACAATCTCTGATTTCCACATATTAAGTCTTAGTTAACACAGAAAACAGTCCATCACCACTGTCCTTAAATCCCTCTGCATTTATTCCATTACGTTGTGCTACTTCATCTCGTTTCAGACTAGGGAAAACCTTTGTAACCTCACTTCGAGTTGGTGGCTCGATGTAAACATCCCATTCAGGTAGGTGTTGGATGTTGGCCAAGTTGAGCATGGTTTTAAGCCAGTTAAATAACTCCTTAAAGTGTTCCCTTGAACGTTTCAGTAAATATCAACCAACACTGTTCGTCGAGGAAGGTGGTGGTTCGGTACGCGCAACATGTGTCCTCGCCAATTCAATCGCTTCACAAAAATCAGCAAGTGATTTTACTCTCCTTACCTAATCAAATGAAGGATGCAATGCCGAACACGATGAAATGCGCTAGGAACTGAAAGTAACTCGAGATTGTATTCACACAAACAAAGCTTTTATTTCAGAGGTAAAAATTAACTTACAATTGTGGAACTGGAGGAGAAGGTGCTTCATTTTTGAAACTTGAGATAAATAAGATGTAGGCGATGGTTCACTCAATTTCTCAGAAGCAAGCAAGTATACAGTAGACTGACCAGTATTAGTGGATAATGTTTGAGAAAATTCTGATGATTTGTTGTAATCAAGTTCTTGAAGATGACCATTCTGCATAGAATTATCTAGGGTGCATACAAAAGGATTAGTACTTGAAGAATCAGTATTCATATCAGTTGGATTGTGTAAATTCTTCAAAGACGATTGGTTGGTTGTTTGATGATTGTCAGTATAAACGAATGTAGATTTCGTATTAACATCTAATTTAGTGTTGCTCATTTTACTGTGACTCGATTTAAAAGACATTTGAGATTCACATAGTGAACTTTTTACAGTATACAGAGCTAAAGATGAAAATATCAAAATAGGTACATTAAGCACTTTAAGAAGCACACAAAATAGACGTTTGAATAAGAAGGATTTATATCTCACAGCAAAGCAACTGATATTCATGCGACTAAGAGCAAGTGACAATACAGACGACCTTTATCACTCTGAAATCTAGTTTGGAAGCCTCCAGCATTCAGCATTATTATTATTCCCTTGGGTACCTAGTGGAACATAGGGCTTCAACTGCACGTCTCCACTTGCTCCTGTCTTCTGCTGTACTTTTCACCTGAATCCATGTGAGTCCATACTCTTTCAACTCCTCTCTCTTCACACGATCTCCTCCATGTCACCCCCCTTGCACCAACGAACCACTCACCGCTTCCCTTTCGGCCTGGTTCCACTCGAGAAATGGCCTGACGCGCGCGCGATGTCACCCAGCGGCCTCCCTCCTCAGCGAGCGAGTGTCCAATCCATCTCAATCCACTTTCTCCTGCATATTTGTTGGTTGGCGATTGGTTCTTGTTTTGTTCATTTGTGGCCATAGTTTCTTGTTGGTGATTCTTTCCGGCCCAGCCATCTGATCTTCAGTATAGAGCCAGCGAAGACAGTTGTTGATAAAGGTCTGCAATAGCCTGTTGGAAATATTCTTTGTGACCCGCCCGCCAAGTTTCTGATCCGTTCCGGATAGAAGAACTGACTGACTTGACGTTTGTATTGAAAATCCGACCGAATTTTGTTGCTGATTCTGGCTGAGTGACGAAGATTTCCAGATTGGTTTCAGGTTGATGAATGTGTTTCTCGCCTGCCTTCCCGATTCTCGCTCGATTTGATATCCTCGTCCGTTCCGACTGCATGTAGTTGAGACAATTCTCCCTAGATGAGTAAGTAAATGAAGTAACGTCTTTCAAATCCCTCCCATTGATGGTGATTGGCACTGGATGTTGCTGCTGTTGTTGTTGGCTGGTTATTTTCATAACCTTGGTCTTGTTTATGTTCACCTGGAGTCTTATCTTCGCCGGCTGCTTCTTCGACCAGTTTGTCGGTTTTCGCTTGTAAGTCTTCGATTTTGTGTGACATCAAACATAAATCATCCACGCGAGAGATCCAGGTCTTCTAGGTTCTTCACGTCGGTCCAGGATATCCCTGTCTGCTCGTTTCCCACTGTTTGACGCATAATCCAGTCCACCACAATTAGGAATATCATTCATTGGTGATAATAAGCACCCTTGTCTGACTCCAGTGTTTACACCAAACGTCTCGCTGAGTTTTCCGTTGTGGATCACTTGACATGTTCCGTTGTCGTACAGCTGTTGAATAAGTTGATGAATATTTGGAGTACGCCGTAGTACTCGAGTAGTTTCCAAATTACTTCACGGTCAACTCTGTCAAAGGCCTTCTCAAAGTCTATAAAGTTGAGGCAGAGGTTTGATTGCCATTCCACGCTTTGTTCTGTGATGATGATGCGTAGAGTTGTAATTTGGTCAGAACATGATTTGCCTTTCCTGAATCCAGCTTGTTCTGGTTGTCTCTGGGTCCGCTTTCAGTGCTCCAGGGGGCATTCATTATAAGGAACAAAATTCCAATTTTCAATCAGTTCTTCTATATGGGTCAGAAACTTTGTTTCCAGTTAACCACTGGAGACTTTCATCAACAGGTGTCTTCAATACATATTGAAAATCAGACTCCAGAAAGAATTGGCAGCAAGGAACTGTGGGAACGAACCAATCAAGAACCTACGGCTCAACAAATATACCGGATAAAATGGAGATGGATCAGAAACGCGATAATGAAACCACTAGGTGACATTACGGGCCAGGATATTGCTCAAGTGGAACACAAAATGAAAACAACGTGTTGGACGTCCGACATTGATATGTCAGTGATGTGAGAGTCTATGGGCAATTGATGGGGAGGCAGCTAAAGACCACTGCAGAGAAAAGGAAAAAGTGGAAATGTATTGTTGAGGCCATATACTCCACTCGTAATCCAACAGAACATTAATAATACAAATAATAATAATAATGGAAAGTGACTAGACTCAGTCGAGTGAAAAGAAAAACATGTGATTCCCTAAAAAAAATCTTTAAGGCTTTACTAGTGGTTCCAATCAATGTCTCCATTTTTATTGCACGTAATCGTGCAAGTTTATGTCACCATGGATGAGGGGTGAATTCTCACGGTATTACAATGCATGCCCAAGTGATGAGTCAAAAACACGAACACTATATTTAGCATACTTTTGCTGACTAGCTGACATGCTGACAGGAAAGTATCATTTAATTGATTTTTAGATTTTCCCGTCGATTGATGATTGAACCGAAGTGTTCGACCTTAGGTTGATATGTCGGCTTCTTGTGCAGATGCTTCAACGATGTCTGGGCATGTAATTAGAATTTAATTGATGTATGGTGACGACTAGCAGTGGAATCCAGGATGCGCATCTCATCCCGTTTGGGACTCGTCAGTTGGATGTACCTGCAGCATTCTCCAGTGAGTAATGATATTCCCACCGAGGCTCGAGTCCAGTGCAGGTACATCCACACGACGAGTCCCAAACAGGACGAAATGCGCATCCTGGATTCCACTGTCAGTCACCATACACCAATTAAATTCTAGGAAAGTATCATGCCAAGAGTAATTTTATTAAGCTCATCGAAAGACGACTACATCGCAATAAATAAAAATAGGCTTTCTCAAATAAGTTATACTTTTTTATCCTATTATTGGTCAGAAAGGCTGAAAGAGCATCACTGACAACTATAGCTTACACACAAGATGCTCTAACCACACAATCAGGTTTGACAGTTTGAAAACTGCTTGTTCAAAACAGCCTGAGTTGTATTGATTCGTTGTTTTACACTTCTGTGTGTGGTGAGAGCAGGCTGCTAGCCAATTGGTAGACATTAATCTACGCCAATGTCTAGGTCACTAATATGGACCGTGAGAAAATATGAGCAAGGCTGATTCAACAACCAATCACAGCAAACTTAAACGTGGGTAAATATGATTCGCAGATAGATGGCTCCACTTTCCGAGAAACCAGAAACAGCCAATCAGAAGACTGTGTTTGTCTGCTTGAATAAGCTATAATAATGTACATGAAATATATATAAATACGTGATGATTTACGTAATGAAACGATCTGTTGCCGGCCCTTGTCTTTTGTTGTTACATTTGCATCACAACCGAAGTATAAGATAAAACTAAGCAATCACAATACTGCTTTTCTTTAAATTTTGATATTCAGCTAATGGGCATTCATCATCTATTAAGAGAAATATTAAAACTCTTAATTTAGTTGTAAAATGAAGTGTCAAAAAAGAAAAGGAAAATGAAGTCATAACTCCATATAGAGTTAATCACCAAGGCTAACCAACCATTTCACAATTAAAACAACTCATATTAGATAGCCACACTACAAAGTCTGTCTGTCTGTCTGGATTCAACATAGAACTTGGCACCGAAGTGCAGCAGTTCGAGTTGCCACCTACAAAGTCGACAAACAAAGAATACACAGCTGAGTAGAATTATAGTGACGTTGCACATAGTTTTTAGGGAGGGGGATAATAATGCCTAACAACCCCACATTAGGCTCATGAGCATTCAATTACACAGAAGAAATTTTAAACAAACTTACGGTTGTAACAAAAGTTTTTTGTATTTCCCAATGAATGGAAAACAAAACGACATTGTTTTTACTGACGTTTCACTATTTAATGCTGCTAATAGCTTTATCAAAGCATTATTAAACCGGAATTTACAAAATCTCAGCATATGCATAATAAAGAGTTAAGAGGTGAGAAAACAGACTTAGGTCAAGTAAAAAGGACACATTGAAAGTCAAAATAACAATAGAGATCACTAAACCAAATATCGAGGTAATAGTGTAACAACAGAAGACAAGGGTCAGGCAACAGATCGTTTTATTACGGAAATCAACACGTATTCATATAAATTTCACATTCATTATTATAGCCTGGTCAAGTAGACAAACGCAGTCTTCTGATTAGTTGTTTTCGAGTTCCTCGGAAAGTGGAGCCATCTATTTGCCAATCATATTTGCCCAAGTTTAAGTTTGCTGTGATTGGTTGTTGAAACAGCCTTGCTCATATTTTCTCACGGCCCATATTAGTGACCTAGACATTGACGTAGATTAATGTCAACCAATTGGCTAGCAGGCTGCTCTCACCACAATGGTACATCTGTTATGATATCAAAACAAAGTTTACTAACTTGATCATTGTTCGTTAGTCTGGGGACATTTTTGGTTGTCAAGTTGATGAATTGGTAAAGATAAAAAAATCAAGTGTAGATTGTTGGATTTTATCAGTGTGTAGAAATATGAAAGTAGTGTGTGTTTCCATAGTGAACTTGCTTATCACATTTGTGTTGATTTTGTCACTTCATGGGGAGGGAGGTGTTGTAACCAGGTGAGATAATGTTTTAGTCCATCATTCCTATTCAGGCAATTTGGATTCCACTTGATATGAAGTGCTTCCGATATTAGACGTTCTTTGTGATTTCTGAAGTTTTTCTGGATTATTTCAATATTGTCAAATTAAATTTTGTGGCCTGATTCTATAGCATGTAGACCTATGGCTGATTACTTTTCAATGTACACTTGATTTTGTTATCTTTACCAATTCATCAACTTGACAACCAAAAATGTCCCCAGACTAACGAACAATGATCAAGTTAGTAAACTTTGTTTTGATATCATAACAGATATACTACTATCTCGATATTTGGTTTAGTGATCTCTATTGTTATTTTGACTTTCAATGTGTCCTTTTTACTTGACCTAAGTCTGTTTTCTCACCTCTTAACTCTTTATTATGCATATGCTGAGATTTTGTAAATTCCGGTTTAATAATGCTTTGATAAAGCTATTAGCAGCATTAAATAGTGAAACGTCAGTAAAAACAATGTCGTTTTGTTTTCCATTCATTGAGAAATAAAAAAACCTTTATTATAATGAATATCATATACCCAATGCCCAAATTTTTTCAAACCGTTAAAAGTGAACTTGGTTTGGACATATATAGAACTTACGGTTATCTGAAAGAACTGTGCTATCAAGCATATCGTAGATTTGCTGACTAGGTGATCTAGATGACTTGCTCGACTGGATGTCAGTTGAAGGGAAATCCGGATCTGGTTTAAGAACAACCAACTCCAGATGATCCATAGGAGTTATCATATATGACTGTGTGCATACAACAGATGCTTCTGAAACTCCACAGTTCACATGAGCTACACCATCACGATTTTCCAAAACGGACATAATCGTCAAACAAAATACAACTGAGCTCTAAATTTTATGACTGTACCGAATTGAGCATGAAAAGAGCATTTTATTTCTCACATACAACACTCTGATCTGTAAAAATCAATAAGGAATTAATTGGAAAAGATTTTCCTAAGGCCCAACAAACTATGGTATATTGTATAAACAAATGATCATTAAGAAAATAAATAGGAAATGCACACCAAATGCCCAACAATATGACTGAATACTTAATCTTTGTAGGAGAATTTGTAGACCAAATCGGATAGGAGTCTGATGTTTTATTATTTCATTTATTTAAACGCAGAAAAAACTTGGTACAATATGGCACCAAGAAGGATACTAATAAAACAATATAGATCAAAAGAAAAAAAGAAAAAATACAAGTAGAGAACAGATAAATAACTTCATCTGGAAGGAAGACAGTCACAGTTAACAAGTTCAAACAGTATTCGTTAACTATCACCGGGAAGGGAAGAAAGAAGGAAATCGCAACACGTTCGCCATTGATTACGATTCTTGGCCATATCTGATAACGTTTTAAGCCATTGATTCAAGCTATCTCTCGGACCCCAACCAGGGAGAGGAAGTGGAGAGCTATCAAGCCGAGGAGTTGCATCAGTGAAGGGAAGGCAAGATGATAGAGATGAAGATGAAGACAAAGATGAGTGAGTAATAGAGAGGTTTCGCGTGCGTTTCGGATTCCCCAACCAGGGAGTCGTGACGCACCAACCGATGCTAATCTACCACAACCACATCCTTCATCCCACGACGTCACGTCATGGAATCGCCACCCCTTCGCCTTTTCCATCCCGTCCCAGGGCTGGCTAGCGAACAGAGATCTGTACGGAAGCCTCCTCTGGGATAACATTCTCACCACATGTCCAAGCCACCGAGGTCGGTGTTTCCAGATGACGATACTCAATGAATGGTGATCTCCACTGTGTTTAAACTTACGCCGCCAAACCTCAGAATTACTCACGCGATGATGCCATCGAACGCAAGCAATCCTGCGTTGATCGAACACGCAGAGTCGCCGCACATCCTCAGCCTACTCGGAGAAGCCAGGTTTCACAGGCGTAGAGCAAGACAGCCCGCACCGAAGTATTGTATACCCGACCTTTGACGGCTAGGCTAACATCGCGACGGCGACAGGGGTGGCTCAAGTTGATGTATGCCACCCTAGCCTTCATTATATGGTTGGAAATCTCATCCGTCACCCCTCCGCCAGCACTCACACAACTACCCAGGTACACAAACTTATCAACAACTTCAAGTGGTTCACCCGCAAGAGTGAGTGCAGGTACAGGCTCCTGCCAATCTTGTAACAGTACTTTGCATTCAGGAGACTGATAACTCAGCTTTTAATTCAGATAAACAAACTGTACCATGACATATGTGGTATAATCCACTTTCATATAAATAGAACTTCATAGAGAACGAATAAAATCAGTACAGACAAACGTGGGTGTGAAAGGGAATAAAAACATACATAAATGAGAGTTACAAGTGTTTAGATTTTTGAAGATGACAGAAGGTGAATACGTTCAGACCTTGACAGCGATTTCCAGCCATTTTACCAACTTTAAAATTACTCCAAATTGGCAGTTGTTCTGTTTAACATGACTGTTCAGTCTCAAGAACATCTGCTAAATAGCAGTACCAAATGGTCTATTGGATCATAAACATATGTCTGTTTTTAGCAAGCCATAATTTTGATAATGGGAAATTGTAGGGCAGGGAAAAGTACATTGCTTTTAGACCTCATCTTTTTTTAATCCTTCCATCTTAGATAGAAGCAACATGTTTAATTTGCTGTTACTATTTTTATATGCGTACACAGATGCCACTTTTATATTCCCCTTCATATTTATTTCATCAGACTTTGAAATTCTAATTTACCTGTGACTGAATGAGTTTCATAATGGAACTTCGCACAAAAGTGCAACAGCTTAAGTTGCCACACTCCGTGTAACACACAAAGGTAGACAAAAAGAGAAAAGGAATCCAAAAGAACAATAGTAAGCAGCAATATAAGGGAGAAACAATAGTAAAATGGAGAGACATTGGGATTAATTGGATATGGGGAACCATAGAGTGAATGCATCTACGCACGATTATAAGTCATATCATTAATAGTTTCCAGTTATTAGAAGCTTAGGGATACCAACCAGGAAGCCTAAATCTCCCTACGTGGTTCAAATTAGTTAGTTAGTTAGATTTTATGGATTGATTCCACGCTTTGATTTAACCACCTCTAAATCTTTTTAAATCCGATACTATGTCAGCTAACATTGTTTTTTGAGGAAATCTTGAGGGACTCGTGAAGCGCAGCATGTCCTAGACATCTTAATCGATGTAGCTTCATATGTTCATCGAGAGGCTTATCCTCTTTATTCAACAATAGGCCTAGTGTCAATATTAGTCACCACATAATGTGGCCTAACGTAAACACATGTGGTCAAAGACAGCTAGTCTTTCCATAACTTCTACTTTAAACGGTGTTGTCTCACAGGCATTAATGGAAGACGGAGAGAATTGCTGTTGTATCAGTTTTTAAGTAATAGACGGCTGTTTATACAAAGTCGTCATTTGATGGACTGAATTATGTATCTTGAAACCACAGTTTTTATTCGTCTTGTAAATGACTTGCACACCTTTAGTAGAAACTTCAAAACCGCTTTTATCGATTCGTGCAGTATCTTATAAACCTATACTCACAGAATGAAATAATTGCACCACCCAATTTAGAATTCTTATCTCCGCTAAATAATTTGAGAATAGCTGCCATTGTTGAAGGACTGTTCAAATCAATAACTGCTAATATTCATGATATTGCTATCAAACGAACACTTGCATTTCCACTCAGTTGGCAATGAGGAGCACCCACAGTGTGTATGTGCGTGCGCACGGAAACCTGATACATTTTGGTCTCACAACAAGTCATAATTAATATAAGATTGTGACCGACAGGTTTGCAGACTAGTTAATCCTACTTAACGATACATGTTCATCGACCAAGATCGACATTTCTCCATACTGAGATAAAGTCTAAATCGTTCAGATAAATCGCCGGTAATAGTCCTTGTTTCGCTTATAGACTTAAGGCCTACATCAAAGAAGGTAGGGAATGTCAAAAGAAATTATGCTTTTGGGAAATTCAATTCAAATGCAAGCAGGAGTGGGTTCTACAACTGAATAACCTTGAACAAGTTTGGTATTTATCCTGATGCTAGTTGCGAAATTAGATGCACATCAGGTGTTCAGACTTCGAGGTTTGTGCAACCTGGGTAAAGTGGTCTGCCTCAGTAAAGGAAACGGCTCATAACTCCCAACAAATCCCATACAAACATTAGACAACCGCATCCATAGGACCTTAAACAAGCTCACCAAAACTGGACAGATCACAAAACAAGACCAATGGCGAATGAAATCCAATGGACCAGTCCTATGCTGATTCTACGGCAAACCCAAAATACACAAGCCAAATATCCCGTTACGACCAATTGTATCACTCCCAGGAACCCCAACATATAATTTATCCAAAGAATTATAGGGAAAACTGAAACACCTAACGGAATCTTGTGATCACTCCATCAACTCTGCTATCCAATTCCTAGAGAAAATCAAAGGCATCCAAATAGATGAACAAGAAATAATGATATCCTTCGACATCACAGCATTATATACCTCAAATGGACAAAAACTAGCAAAAAAACCATGGAGCAATTACTTAGCAACGACGAACAACTTCCACAACAATCAAAAATGCAACACACAAGCTGGATGGAATGCACAAACCTATGCCTAACAACATACTTCCAATTCAACGGCCAAATATATGAACAAGTCAAAGGAACATCCATGGGATCGCCAATATCAGGTTTGATTGCAGAAGCAGTGATGCAAAGACTGGAAAACATAATTCTACCAAAGATCAAACCCAAGATTTGGATACGCTACGTTCGCTCAGCAGTTCGCTCCGTCCTTCTCTATGGCTCTGAAACATGGCCAATACGCGTTGAAGACATGAAAAGGTTGACTGCTTTCGATCATAGATGTCTGCGATCTCTGTCTCACGTTAGGTGGTTTCACAAGATAAGTAATGTTGATGTTAGGCGTAGAGTGTTGGGCAAAGAGGGAAAATCAATCGACGAGGCTATAAAGTTACATAGACTAAGATGGCTAGGTCACGTGCTGCGCATGCCTAACCACCGCCTCCCCCGACGGGCTTTGCTAGCTGATATAGGTTCAGGTTGGAAAAGAGCCAGTGGTGGCCAAACAAAAACATGGCATCAATCCATGAAATCCTTGACAGTTAAACTGAGTCAGGTAGGGAGATGCAGACTCCCGGGTTGGGGCCCTCGGGACTCTAGGAATCAATGGCTGGAGACAACAGGTGACATGGCTCAAACTTATCGTTGTCAATGGCCAGCGCAGATGTATTCAGTCTCTGTAATCTTTCATATTCCTTTCTACCATTACCCATTCGTTTCACTCTTATACTTGTCAAACTCTATTAATTCTCTTCACTCATCTTCTTGTCTACCTCTGTGTGCTATTTGGAACGTGGCAACTCGAACTGGTGCACTTCGGTGCCAAGTTCTATGTTGAATCCAGACAGACAGACGCTACGTCGACGACACATTTGTAATAATCAAAAGAAACGAGTTAGATAAAACTCGCAGCTTAATAAACAACGTCTTCAACGACATCAAATTGACAAGAGAAGAGGAATCCGAGAGCAAAATACCATTTTTGGACGTCTTAGTCAGACGAACAACTGCAACAGAATTAGAAGCTCAAGTTTATAGAAAATCAACCCACATAGACCAAATACTGAATTACAAAAGGAACAATCCATTAACACAAAAGGAATTATATACAAACACTATTCAAGAGGGCCAGGACTCATTGCAACACTCGCACAATAAGGAAAATTGAAGAAAGTTATCTCATGGACGTCTTCCGAAAGAATGGATATCCACGGAATTTCATCAAAAGACATATATCCCAAGCCAACCTATCAAACCAAAAGCCCCCAAGGAAAGCACAAAGAAAATCGCCTTACCATATATAAAGGATATCTCAGAAATCACTACAAGACTCTTCAAGCCTCTAGGAATTGACGTCGTATACAAACCAACAAAGTCGCTTCAATCAATTCTATGTCAACCAAAAGACTCAACAGCGAAAGAAGATAAAACCAACATCATCTACAAAGTAAATTGTAACAACTGCGAGAAACACTACATTGGCCAAGGTGGACGTCCCCTTTGTCTTCGTATCTAAGAACATAAGCTAGCCGTCAAAAGACATGACATCCACTCCCTCATGTCACTACATACAGACAACTACGGACGTCAGTTCGACTGGGACAACGTTCAAACAACAAGAATGCTAAAAAAATTTCAGAAGCTTGGCATTCCAATGAATCATCAATCAATACACACATCAAGACAGACAAAATTTATCAACCGACAAGAAAGAAATATCACACAAAGGGTCAAAGCTGAAGTCAGGGAAACAATCAGTTCCAATACAAGTAACCTAGAAGGTGCGAAAACACAAAAACAACCAACTACATCCACGATCACCAAGAGAGATGATTAATAAACTCGTGGAGAAATCTAAAAGCTTACTTCAAACTGAAGTATGGGCTGAAGATGTCACCCAGTAGGGCGATGAAAGTCTCGCAAATTAACTATCCAGCTCAGAGAACACAACCCCATCTAAATGGTTACTGAATGTTGATTTACGAAAGACTCACATACACAACTACATTCGTTTTTCTTGTTTCACTAGAAATTTGAAATTACCGGATGTTCCAATGGTGAGAGAGGTACCAGATAAAAAATGAGGTATAAAAATTTTCTGAGGTTTTTTGGACCTTTATATTGGATTGCGAACATTTCATAAATATGCAAAGTGACCACAACCCTAGCTACTTTAGGGAGCGAAAACACTCAGTAGTGGTCACTTATTCTTATCTACTATCTACGACAAGGTGACTACGGAAGAAATACTCTGTAGTCTATATTGCCTCAATAGTTCCATACTAAACATCTTCGGTGCCAAGTTCTATGTTGAATCCAGACAGACAGACTTAAATGTATCACGCAATGGATAGGGAAGTAAAAGTGCCCATGTAAACTAGAAAAAACGCAAAACTGCAAACCGAAATAACATGATGGTAGCACGCTCACCATCAAATATAGTGAACCCTGTGTGTGTTTACTATTCCTATATTCGGTTATCAAGTCAGTTTATATTTAAAACCCGACTTGATAACTTGATTCTCCCATTCTAACGACTTTGGGGAGAAAAGATATTCGTGATTAGGGACTATACTGATCGACCTGCTGAGTGACAGCTTATCTATATCACCAGCCACACCTGTGCAGAGATTTATGGGCGAACACGGGTCAATAAAAGAAAGAAATGCATAAATCAATTCATAAATACATGGAGTCAAACAAATAGATTGAAGTATTGCAGAATTAGAAACAAATGTTGGCATTTCATCATCATCATCAACCACCCCATTATACTCTAGTGACTTCTATAGCTGTTATAGACTATCTTCTTCCCCTTATCGCATTCTTGAAACATGCAGAGCCACGCAGTTTTAATGATCTTTAACCTGGGTTGGTATCTTCAACGAACCATAGGTGCTGTTATTCAAAATCTCAAACTTCCAAAAGCGGATCCTTAAGCGTTGGACAGATTTTATAATTACTCCTGTACATGAGATAAAGGGTAAGAAGTGCATAACGACCGGCCAGCTAGGCTATCAAGTAATACGGGATGTTGCTTAGATTTGTGACGATATACAATCTATTGACCCACACGGTCTATGATTTAAATGCTGATATTTACATAACCGACTTGGGAAAAAGGACTTGTTGCACCGTACAGAGCTGGTACTTTTCTGGATTAATCAAACTGTTTCTCAGACCGCAAATGAATGTGGTGAAAACCGGCACCAGTCTACACAAAAGAAAGCTATGCAAAGGAAGTGACTGGAGATGTCGACCTGCAATCAATAGCTTCAAGGTGCGATTTTTGCAACACTAATTTCAGTCTGGGCAAGTGGGCAGTATAATTAGACGTCATATAGTGTGTGAGTAATTGCTTTATACCATCAAATTTGTTCGTGGTAAATCAGTTAGAAAACACAACTATTTCCTTTTTTTCTACTTCCAAGTCCCTATTACACTACACTTATCTCCCACTTTTGGTGGTCATGAATAAACTGAATTAGAATTTTGAGTATAGACAATACTTTTGCTTAATTTACCCAACATGTTTTGGATTCACCTCCCGGATATTCCCAGGAGAGTTCTTTCGACTATCCAATAACTATTTTCCCCGCACTTTCGGCTTACCAGCTTTGATTTAGTCCTCAGTACACTAAGTGTGTTGAATCATTCTTGGGAAGAGTTCCACCTATTATTGAGGTAGCAAAAACTCCAGGTAAAAAAAACAGGATGCATATGAAGGTATAGTACTTATTTACTAAACGTCTGCAGTACACAGCAAGTTGTGCCTAAAATATCTGGAATGACATTGAATCAGTTGTTCTCTCGACTGAGATAAAAATCTCCATTATATCAATATCAGGGGTGGGTTTTAAGTCATGGGTAGCGAGCCCTTAAAGTACTAGATATTAAAATTTATAAAATTACATGTCATGTTTCGGCCAAAGGGATTTGATGGTGAGTGAACCCAGTATGCTAAAGAAACATTAATCCGTGTATTCACATGTACAGGAAACGTCCGCATATCAGAATAAACAAGCAGAGTTGATCGAACACTTTTAAAGCAGCCTTCTACACACTATGATTAAAACTTCAATCCAGATGAATTAAGACAAGTAACTTAAGTGAAATACGAAAAAAATATTATTAGATCCTTATACACAAATATCTATCCTTCGTTTGAACTCAGAATCTAGATACTGTGGCGCAGACACATCACTGCTACACAAATTTCTAACAAGACAGTACACTCACCAAATTCAAACATGTTCTTGCGCCACAAAACAACCTAGAAATACGAAATGAGCGCTACCGCTGGAAAACGAATACAAACGTGTGGCTATCATGTCCAATGTCAACTCCCATCCTCAAAGGTTGTCACACTAAGGAGGCCGAAGAATAATTTGTTCGAACTTTTAAAGCCATTATCATGATAATATGTGAAGTTGGTTTTATTCATGTCGTAGAATAAGACGGTGTAATATTTTTTATTTTATAATTTTGGATTACAGCTTGATTCCACACCGTATTTTTGGTACAAGTATGAAATTTTCAGCATGGATATTGTTAGCCCAAATTTTCCAGGCCGACCATAGATATCAGGTGTGTGTCGCAGGGGACCGAACCTCGGACCATGTGCATGGTCGACGAGAGTCCTAACCACTGTGTCACTGACGCACAATGAGAGAAATATTTTCTCAGACAACCTCAGCTTCACTTTCTAGTGGTTGTTTTTCGAAGGCCTAGACTTCTCTTAGGCATATCCTACGAAGGTGCCATCAGTGACAGCAGTAATGGAATGAGATAGAAGTCAGGACAGAGTTTCCTGGAGTTGTAGTGAGAAGTCCTGACCAGTGAGGTTCATCCAGTCAAGTGTAAAGATGGATGTCCCACCAAGGACATTGATTGGTGATCACGGTAAATCGCGAAATAGTAGAAGTTATAGTTCATGGGGTGGCTACTGAATCGGGTCCCAGAGGCTGAATGGTATACGAGTTTGCTTTGTAATTGGAAGGTCCTGGGGTTCGAACCTGGGTGGTGGGTGTGTACTGCTGATGATTCGCAAGCTAGGATGAAACGGCTCTCCAGTCCTTCCTGGATTTCAATGGTTCTCAAACTGCCATCAATCCGTGGTCACATTAGCATAAATAAATCTAATATTTACCAACCAAACTCTGGAGAAGTCAATCCATTTGTGTTTAGGGTATGTTTTCTCGGATCATATTTACGTTGTTCACTCTAAAAATATTGGCACCTATGTCTTACAAAGCATTTTAGCAGATAAATCACTCAGTTAGCTTCAGATGTTAGTGGATTTTGAAGGGAATGAGAAAGGTAGTAGCTCCCGGTGTGACAAACGGAATGGATTTGCACGCTCAAAGTGCTGGCATAGAAAGGCAGGAAACTGGTACCTTTAGACAACCCAAATAATTTTCAGCCACTGGGTTTGTCATTGGAATTCATGGTGATGGCCATAATATAGTGATCCGGTTTGAGATATGTAAATCATCATATAAAGCTTTGGAATATCTCAATAAACATAAATCAGTGTACACCCTTGAGCTGATCATTATAATGAAGGATTTATTGGTTTGAGATCTGGGAAAATAATCGGGATTACGTTCCATGGAGTAACGGCATCGTCTGGACTTATTTTGTGAGGGTTCGAATAGGGGTAAAATTCTGTTGCCAACTGTTTGTGATGTGACTGAAGTTAGTTCGGCCTCTAGTGAGTGATTCCGGAGGATAAATTGTCACCATGATATTAACACACTGCTCGCACCCTTAGGATGCAGTACGCGAGGTGGGCCCTAAGCCGCACTTTTCAAAACGACTACTTTTCGGGACAGTCACATGAATCTGTTCAGTTTCGAATTTACTGACGCTAATTCTTTCATTAAGTCAATGCTGATGAACAGCTACAAAGTAGCGTAGTCAAATGACTTCATAAAAATATTGTCGTTGATAGGATATTATCTTACCTAGGATATAGAAGTGTGACGCTTCTGTGGAAAGAGTGAACGAAATGTATGGCTAGCGAAGTGTGAACCACAACATTTGCTTCATTATACATCCAGGCTGGTCATTTAGTAATTGCAATCTTTTGGATCGGTCCAAGTAATTAAGTTTCTTATGGAGTAACTGAGAGTGGCAAAGATCATGCTTCATATTTGTAACAAATTACTTTATCAAATTCATAGTTAGGAGCCTCAAACGTGAATACAAATGTAGATGAGACCTCTAGGATATTTGGATAAAAATGTTTGGAGAAATTGGCTTTCAAGGCGGTCTTATTATATTCTTGCAATGTACAACATCTTGGCATTTCAGTGAGTAGTGCTTGTTGATCAGTTGTCAAATGCACGAATGAGTGGATATAAACATCAGCTTCTTTTGTATTTTGCAGACATTGAGGTTGAAATGATAGGCGCACACGACCTAGTAACAGCCGTAGTAATCGTGAATATCGCTTGTCTTCGCCAAAAACTTGTACAGTGGCTACCTGAATTTACAATCTGTTGGCTAAGAGAAAACATAACGAGGTGAGATGGTGAGTATTTTTAAGGAAGGAAACAGCAATAAACATATGTAGACAGGACAAGAAAACGAAAAATGCGTACATTGGGCAAAGACGTGGGCATTATAAACACAGATCCATTGGTTGTCATTTTAGCTTTCTGCGAGACGACTGATTTGTTCATTCGCCAGACAGGCCATCTATTCTATCTATTTTGAAACTCCCAAGCACTTCATGGTAAGTTGCGACCACGGCAACCTGGATATCCGTCTTTACCGAAGAGATATCGAACGCCTTTGGTAACGCAAGATTTGTTCTAGTACCACTAAAATTCGGATAAACAACAGTGCGATGTGCATACCTGTGTACCTTCAATGATATGAGCCTTATTAGGGATAGTGATGGCTACTGCTGCTACTGGCGATGATTTAAGCCGCCAGTCCACATGAGGGATGAGAACACAGGTACCTTCTTTGAAGTAGATACAGGGCCTAAAGTCGGTATAATACCTCCTTGACTATCAAGGCAACCCGCCATATGGCCTGAAAACCGCTACTTTGAGCAGACAATCAAACCAGCATACGGACCTACGAGGAAAGGTCACTTTCTGTGAATCTCAGTTTAAGTGGACACTTCACATGGATTTTTATGGCAGCAGAGATTCTTTATGGCACTGTTAATGCTGACTTTTGGACAACTTTAGTCTGCTAATTGAAATAAACAGGAAAAAGCAGAGTGATAACTGCACTCAACTTAGAGTTCGTGGGATCGTCTTGGCACACTTTACCCATGACCTGGAGGACTGCCCTCAATCCACTTCAGTGGAGCGCTCCTCTTAAGTACCCAAGCTGTCTTATGAGATGGAGAAATTTCCTCTTTTGGTAACTGATGAAATAATTAAAATGAGTCACGTTCAATATTCTGCTCGTTATTCATTATTAACGTGCAGTTGGCTTGTCTTATATCACTTGCAGCAATAATTGTGGATGGCAGCATTCATTAATGCCAAAAAATACCTCAGCAGCATCAACTTCGCTCAAAGTGCCATCTGTGTTCTCTGATGATGCTGCCAGTGGTATATTCCAGAGAATTTGATCTTCTTGTATTTTGTATGCTTGGGTACAATTTAAACGGGATTGTGGGCAATTAATTTATGAAGGTAACTAGTAATTACTTTTTGTTATTAATTTTTCCGAAGAAGGATTCAAACATCATACCAGTGGGTGGTTTCAAGTCGTTTACTGGACAGATACGGCAAGATGAAGTATGGGTTTATGCAATATGAATGCACTTCTGGGGGTTATCGCGCTGCTAGAGGAGGTTCTGGCTGGCTGGCTTGAGGAATAAACAGTAAGTTGGATGTGTATACTTTAGGTCAAAAATATTAAATGACAGCCTACATCCAAACCAATAACCAGCTGCGTGATACAAGGTAGCGTTCTTGGTCCCACCCTATACATTGCATTCATAAATGATACTGTCTCTGCGATCAGGTACGGCAAGCCGTATCTCTTTGCAGATGATCTCAAAGTTGTCTATGATATCGACTAAAATGATATGAATATTGCCAGTAAAATCCAACAAGTCCTAAATGGTCTATGTAACCTAATATTTTATAGCACTTTATAAATTCGGTTCGACTTATTCTATTCCTATTCTCTGTAGGGTACGGTTGTGCACTAAATAAACAAAAAGGTACGAAATAAAAACAAGCGGCTTGAGAATAATTGCATTAAAGCCAAAAGTGGATATCATGATAGTAAAACCTATATGGGTAGCATTATACATTGCAAATGAACGTTGTCAGCCTAGGGTTTAATTAGGTTCCTGTTGTATTTCCTTTATAAATGCATTTATTACTGATACATTGCACTTACTTATTTCATTACACCTTAATGACTCACCCTGGCAATTTTCATTTTCTTAAACAGCTTTCACTCCCTTGTAAAAGTTGTACCTACCTCAATATTGGATATCATACACATACAACCACGGGATGAAAACCAAACGAAGTCGGATTTCCCGCGGAACCCGGAGGACAACTGTACAATTCAATAAATATACGGCCTGGTCCAGACAATGAGTGTTGTCAGCCACGTCTCGTAAAGCGTTAATGCTCAGCTCTTGCTACGCTCGGCTCACGATGTCGCTTGAAGTTTCTCAGAAACGCTTAGTAATAACGGACGAAAAATCCAAAACACCAATTGTTGACTCGAGGATTCTTTGTTGTTACACCAACATATAAATGACGTATGACTAAGGTCTGTGAACAAATATTACAATAATAAATCACAATATTACTTCTGACGGTGTTTCAGTCTTCTTTCTGAACAGCGACCGATGAGACGATGACTGTCGTATTGATGCCTCCGCGAAAATCGGGGAAGTTGATTTTGAGCAAACAACCAAGAATTGATCGTTCAATCTTCAACTCCATTGACACTCCCCGGCAAAAAAGGGATCCATCCCTTTTTCCATCACGACCAATACACGTTGACTTGGATGCCATTGCGAGAACCTGGGTCACACGGACAGAGCTGAAATGGAAAACAAACAGAAAAGCCAACACACCACAAGCATACTCACAGCACAATCTCACACATCAATGACGACCTGCGCCTTCCAGTTAAAGGCATCCCCTTGGCACATCCTCATGCAACACAATCTCCACTTGCTAGAATTACTCTTGTAGAATACAACGTGACCATGGCAGTACCTCACGATACTCTACGCTCATCCTATTATCTACTCACTACCAATTACCGCTGAAATCCCATGTCACTCATTCTGC